GCCCCGCCGCAGTCGGGGCGCTCCGCAGGACGGCGTCTGTAGGGACGGGACAGGCAGGGATAGGCCTTGGGGTGGGCTACGGATCCCGGGGCGCCCACGGGCTCTGGGCTCGGCCCTCTGAGGAGCCTGGCCTGGCGTGGCCTCCAGCCTCCGCCGCGGGACAGGAAGCGCAGAGAAGTCGGTTGAGGAGCGGCCTGAGGTCTCTTGTGGGCTCTGGTGCCAAGCCTTTCCTCAGCAGGACAGGTTTTGTTAAGCAGAGGATTCAACGAGAGAAAAAAAGGTATTTGCATCCTTTGGGAATGCTGCGAAAGCTCCATGGGCTGTGCTGTGTGAGTTACTACCTGTCACCATCGAGAGCTCTGGTTATTGGCTACGCACTGGTGCCATTCGCTGCTCTGGCTTTTCGCCTGTCTAACGCGCCCTCCCACAGATGCAGGCCCTGCTTTGTCTGGGGGTCCACAGCTCCTCTCTCTCTGGTGAGCGATATCTACCACGGGGTCAGTACATCAGAAGTACGCTACAAGTACCATAAGGTTTTGTAAAGAGACGACAGCTTTGCATAGATATTTTTTCAGGTTTTTTTATTCACAAAGGTATTAGTAAATGGTAATGTATAAATTTGCCAAGTTGAGATTAAAACATACATTATACTGAACAGCCAAGGTATGTACCAGAGTACTATTGCTGTAAGACTACACAGTGTCATATATGTTACATTACAGACTTAGGTAGCTCCACTAGACAATGTATATAACCTCGGAATAGTTTAAAATTAACATGGAACAAGGCAAGGAATTACAATTTCACTTTGTGACTACAGGAGCACAAAACCTTTAAGGCATTTTTGTGAAACAGAACTGTGTTTCCCAATTTAAAAAACTTTGGGTTTTTTAAACAAAAAGAGCTGTATTTCCTTAGACTGCACAAGAGTGGAATATGCTAACAGTATTACAAATAATAAATAGTCATAATAATACATGTGACACTTTCTTAAGGGTGCTTTCACTTGATAATAAATATGACAGCATACAAGGTTCTGTTTTTTTCTTTTGAGAGTGATGACTGAGGCTGACCCCAGGCTGCTAACGCAGGGCACGCCAAGAGACACAGAACAATTCCTCTCTGAGAACACATGGTGAGCGTGGTACCATGAACACCTCCACTTACTAGCTCATCTTTCACTGATTCTTTAATCCATTGCCAAATACATACAACAAATAAAATTTCAAGTGAGCTATGAAAAATTAAAGCTATTTTAAATTAACATCTCATCCCTAATCCAAAATATATAACAGCTTACACGTGAGACACAATGAGAAACCTTAACAACATGTAAAGGACACTTAGGAAAAAACCAACTTCCAGAAATACTCTTATGAAGGATTAAACACTGTCTTGGAGCTCCTGACAGTGAAACATAAAGGTCAGGCTTCAAATGATGCCCTATATATGTATGTAGTAGAGCAGCTCATAGGGTAGAGTTACATGACTTAAATTATTTACTTATGACTATGTTCAGTGCAACTCAAACTGAGATTGAGTCCTGTAGAATACAGCTGAGAACTTGCATAAAAATTCCCCTCTCTGGTAATGCAGTGTTTGTGAGTCTGTGGACCAAGTTTATATGGAATAGGACAGATTTGTTTGAAACCTCCTCCAATCTCTGAAGGTTTCTGTCTGCTTGTACGCAATGGGATAGCAATGAGGGGCGTTGCTAACGGGCAGCTGATCAGTGCTTGCCCCCTGACACCTAGGACTGCGTTTGTCAATAAGACACACATCATACCTAGTGCTTTCTGAAATACACTGCAAAAGGATCACAAATTATTTTGGCAAGTGTTTGTGTTTGCCGTATCTTTTAACATTGCAGGTGAAAAGGAAGCAGGGATTTCTGTTCACAGAGTTGCATTGTGCTCTAATCTGCTTCTCAGTGTGATCACTTTTGTTTTCTGCATTCAGGGCTAATGTTTCTGATCCAAATCTGCTACTTAACCTTACATGAAAAGTGCACTTTTACCAACAGACAGTCCTTATTTCTTCTTCTGAGCTGGCCACATAAATCCATCCAGTTTATGACTCAAAAAGTTCAGAACTGTTTAATTTGTCTTCTTCATACAGCAAAATGTTTTCCATAAGCTTCTTTTTTTGATCATTTATCTTTATTTTCCAAGAAGTCTCTCTGGCTAATGCTGAAAAACAAAAAGGACCAAATATTGAGAAAAAAATCCACTTATGTCCAAGGAATAGACTGTAATTTTAAATTTAAAAAAACCCAAACTTCTGTTGGGAAAAAATCTGATAGAAAACCAGAAAACATTTTGTAGATCTATTGGTAAAACCATAACTAAGGATAAAAGATTTACTGAAAAGCATTTAGAAGTAGGAAGAACCTACGCAATTCTGGAGAAGAGAGCACCTTGTCCCTACTAGTACAATATCAGAGACTCTTACAAAGACTTCGGTTATTGTGACAGCAGCATGGGCAGTTTTGCCGTATCAGCCTGAAGATCACGTGTGTTTGAATGTTCCCCATGCACCCTCAGCTTTATCTACATTTACCTTGTGAAGAACAGGGAGAGTCAATGTCTGCGTTGTTCTGAGAGGCGCCCTGTGCAGCAGACGCTGGTTCCAAGACACCGTCACTTTTGGTGCACACTGCGTTTCTCTCCTGGAGGCCATTCGCAGGTTTCTCCTGCTTGATCCTGTAATCAGAGGCTGCCACCATTCCTGAATGGTTGCAGCTGGCGCTAGATAGCGCATCTGCAGATTTTTCTGGAGGACTCCACATAAAACTGCTCGATTCATCTGATTCACAGGGGACCCTTGACATTTGTCCCCCATAGATGTCGGGTGACACGGCTCCTGTCAGAGGTGTGCAGGGGCTGGCACTGGACAGGACCCTGGGCTGCGCACTGTCCTCTGTACTGTCCCCCGCAGAAGGCACGTCCGTGCTCAGGCTAGCAGTCTCATCATCGTTTTCTTCTGGAGTGTTCATGGAGAACCCAGAAGTGCTGCCTCCACAGATGTAATGCTCTCTTAATTTATTTGCAGCCGTTTCCATCGTTTCAAGCACCTGTTTTTAACAACATGATCCGTGAATGCAGAATAATTACTGTACCCATGCTTACACATATCCTCCTATGTCAACACTCTCAAAAACAAGTAAGGCACAAATGTTGTAGCTTTAGATCTCGCTGTCAAGAAGACTAAAATCTCGGTCATGTATTTAAAATATTACCTCTGCTATGTTAGAATTCTTCTTTCTCAGACAAAGGCAGATGGCTAAGGCAAAATCAACAGCAACCTCTTCCGGCAAGTGTCCTGCTTTCCTGTCTAGATATTTACAGCATATCTCCTTGGCAGCTTGCTTTTCAAAATTTTTTACTTTGGAGTATGAGCTTTCTTTTGCTATTTGAATTTCATCAGCAATCATATCTTTCTGTTCAAAGGAAAGTGATACATTAGCGAAGGCAAAATTAACACAAACATTTATTTCTATCCGAATCACCGAGAATATCAGCCTTGCCATATATTTGTTGTTATTGCTCCTTAATGGCTGGTTTACAGACCTAAAGGCTTGACTGTCAGAAATGTCTGTTTTCACAGGAAAGACCGAAGTTTTCTCTGCATGTGTCTAATGTCAAATTCACTAGAGCAGACCCAGCTCTTCGAGGCTTGTGCTCATTCATAGGAATGAAAAATAATACTGTATATAATGGCATTCTTGCACAGGACTTTTCAAACATTTGTTACGGAAATCAGGAAGCTTGGAGCCTTTATGTTCTGAACTCAGCAGGCATAATTGCTTGGAAATAGTAAGTTAGAATACTCTCATTTTCCCCACAAATGCATCAACAAGATGGCAAGTCAGAAGGAGCATATTCCTTAGCAGGAATGAAGGTGGAGCCTGCCTTCCTGAGGATGGTGTTAATGCCATTCGGGGAGCCCAGTCAGTTGTGTTTGCTTGTGAAAGTAGTCTGTGTCATTCTAATCACAGCTTGGGCAACTTGGCCAGGGAATAAATTACATACACAAACACCTGATAAACGCGATGATGAGCAACCACAGTTACCGCCTACCCACGTTTCCCCATTCAGTTTGGCTCATAACACCTTTTTCTGGCACATAAAAACATGCAGCAGCATTTCAGCCCAAAGCCTTGTCTCTTAAATAAGCATGAATTTAAACACCAATTATTCTGGAGCATCTCCTAATACAATCAGACTGGCACTGGCGACTGTGGTATGTGAAATGAGAATATATATTCTGCTTCTGTCTAAAAGCAGCTAGACTACTGATGTTAATGGAACCAGGATACGGCTTCTGAACAACCATTCTTCAGGATGTGTACAGCAGACTGCAAATAGCAAACTGTACTTATATAAAGTGTAAATTAATGTTATGACAGCAACCCCCTGTTGCTGGTGTTGATATTCATTACTCCTGCTTTTTCTTACCAGATAGATAGGGTGTCTTCCTTCATCCAGTGCCTTAATCCCTGTCAGTATCTCTGCTAGGACCTAGAAAGTACATTTGAAAGATAAAAGAATTTGTTCAGAATTAATTATATTTTTAAAAATTAGTCTTGTAACTAAAGAAATACTGAACTGCCAGGGAATGTTGAAATTATATTTGCACTTCAGACGGCTTAACAAAGCCAGATCTGGGTGATCTTTATGATGCTTTAGCTCTACCTCCAGAGCCAAGTCCAAATTTTATAGTTAGGTGCAACAGATACTGTTGAAACAAAGGACGAGAAGAAAGTAATTCCAATCTAGATAAGAAATCAGACTGAACAGAGTAACTTCCTGTTTAAATGGAACCACCTGGAGACAGAGGACATCATAGACTATCAATTATTCTAGTTGAATTTCCAAATTAGCAGGCGATGTTTGTAGCCATTCATGTGAAAGTCTGCAAGAATTCTGAGACCCCAACTGCAGTCTTTCTGCCACTCTTTCTTCTCAGTGGTATTTTTTTTGCAACAAGAAGCAATTTTGTTTCTGCCGTTCAAAAGATTCACCTCACTTTGCCACAAACTGAAGTATATTTGGAGTGTGAACATAATTAAAAGTAAGATTTCAAGACACTATATAGTCAGTAACTATGATACAAAATTGGAGGCAAAACAACTATACGAGGTATATGCTCTTACATCCATTTTCCTGTCTAGAAGCACCAAAGCATGGAACAGAACATGGAAAAAAATGCAACGTACCACACCACAGCTGAATATATCAACTTTTTCTGTTAACTGCCCATGTCTGATAAAGTCTTCTGGCAGATAAGTGAGAGAAGCTTGTAGGACTTTGGTTTTCATCATAGCATATTCTGATTTTTTATCAACAGAATACAAACGCAGGCCTGAATGCCCAAGCTTTGGTGCAAAGTTTTCATCCAACAAGACATTTGAGCTGTGATACAGACAGACAAATAACAATATTGGTCAGGTAATTACCTTGGCTTGAGGTAGATAATTACCATTTTGCACTTTTAAAGTTAAGAGCTGAAAGTTTCCAGCATTTGCCCTGCTGTGCATAAGTGAAAGGACAAAGCACGGTAGAAAGGGAGAGGAGGAAGATCAAGCACCCCAAAACTTACTTCAAAAGAATATATGTCCATCAGCTAGAAAAGACAGATAAATTAAACATAAACCCACAAACGCCTGGCAGAATAGGAGACAGCAGAAAGATACTGCAGATGGGTTTCAAAACTGGGTAAGCTTTCAGCCATTATTGTTAAAGACATCCTGGAACTAACAGGTGACCAGGGAAGTGCTGACAAGACAAACCCCTCACCTTTTGATATTCCCATGAAGAATTCCAGAATTGTGTAAATACTGCACAGCTCGGATGAGTCCCACAGAAATGCTGATTCGCATGTCCCAGCTCAGTGGAGCAGAATCATCCTGCGAGGAAGCGAGGAAAAAAATGGTATTTTATAGCATAAAAAACTGTAAGACAGTAGTTGTTTTGAAAGCCAAAGACTTCGTTTCAGTCCCACTGAAGACCCAAGCAAAACTCCTGCTGACCTGAATCAAAAGTTTGGTCTCAGGCAAGAACTGGTGATCTCTAGGCCAAGGGGGGAAGCTATTCTTGCGTATCCTGCTGCACATTTTGCCTGCCATAGGACAGAGTGAGGATACAGCAAGGATTGTGCTTGTCCAAAGCATCAAGTACTGGCCATGGCTGAGGCACAGTGCTGCTCTGATGGATCCCTTTTCTGATGTTTCCCTGCCCTGTGATCTCCTCTGCAAATGTGCTTCCAGTAGGTGCGAATCTCAAACTCTTCCCTCTTAAGCGCTTATAAAACCTTATAGCACATTATGCCAGTGAATATGATGATGGGTTCTACAGAAACATATTCCCAAATCCAATGAAATATTACAATATGAACAGACACATTTTGCAGGTTCCTTACTACTTTAAAAATCTAAAGGCTGCACAGCAGAAATGTCCTGTCCTGATCCGCTTTGCGGTAGGAAACTGGAAAGGAGCTGCAGCCCTTCTAGTACTTGCAGTCAAGATATTTGGGCACTGTATTTTTGTTTTTTTGTCTGTTTCTCAGAATTCAAAGAGATGTCATTGCTTTTCATACCATAACAGGACAGGACTTGCAACCACAGATAATGGACCTGGATTATCTGCTTACTTGACACTGAAGTTTGTTTTGCAGCGATCCGTTGGGCAGGTATGGATATATCAGGCAGTGCAATCCAGTTTCTACTGAGAAACCCAGCAGCTGCAGAATGTTGACGTGACAACACCTGCAGGCACAGATCAGCGGTGATTGGCAAATGAAATAAAGAGCAACACAGACAAATACATTCCTGAGCTGCAATAAATTCCTAAATTTAAGGCCGCTGGGAATGGTGTCCTGCAGCTGGGAGCCCAGCACGGCCCTGAGTGGGACTGCGGGAGGCCAATAACGAACCCAGCGGCAAGGACAGACCCTCAGAGCGCAGCCCGTCCCGGGCCAGCCAGGCTGGGTGCACGGTACGCACAGACTGCATCTGAAAGCCAGCTCCTTACCGAAAGCAGATCTGAACTTCGGTGTGAAAGAATCTCTGGGTGGAGTCTGGGCTTGTGCATTCCACCTGAGAAATGAAAACGTGCCACAGAGTGTCAGGAGTAATTATGAAGATGCTGCATTTACACAGATCTTTTAGTCTCTACGTGACAAAGTGTGGAAAATAGGCAACTATCACTGACGAAAACTTTGTGTCAAAGCAATGATTAATTGAAAATTAGAACAAAAACCAGTGTAAAGAAACCTCTGATCCAATCATCAGTGCAGGCAGCTACACTGCAGGCTACTCCCACGGATAGAGCAAACAGAACTACTCACAGGAGTCAAGTATCTCTTGTATGTGTTGGCTGAATCTAAGTTTACTTACTTTACCTAGTTTCCTTCTTATCTCTCCTCCCTTGTAGCCTTCTGGTTCCTTGCCCATACAATATTAAACTACAACTGCTAACGTTCAAGAGATTCTAATAACGTACCCTCTTCAAACGAAAAGAGGAGGTGGAGCACTTGCCTCTTTCAGTCTTTTGATGACATACACCATGTTGTTCCTCTGACCTTTGTAGACATCCGCAAAAGTTCCTTCACAAATTCTGCTCTTGTCACTGAACCCGTTTGTGGCATTGGTGACTTCCCTCTGGGTCCACAGAAGGCTCCCGCTGGGGAGATCGGTCATTGTCTCCTGCTGAGGGGCAGGAGAGCTGCAAGGCTGCACATTTGTAGAAGAAACAAGTTTATCTCATGAAAATTCATGCCTTTTTGCCTTCTTTCAGGTGTCTTATTTTATTTTCCATGGTTAAGCAATCACTGTGATTGTTGAAAGAAACTGAAAGGTGCTGTGCAGTCACTCCTTAGGGCTTCCCTTTGTAATACCTGGCTTCATGGGTTTTGCTGATGTAAATATTTTACATAGTAGAAGAGACTTGAAAACAGTCACCAATCTGCATCTCCACCTTTCCCAGAAACAGACCTAGTTTTGTTTAAAAGTCCATGTATTTATTTGAAGTGATGTTAGTTTACGTGACAAAACCCATTAATCTTTATGGCTCGGGCATGTGTTAAACGCTTGGATCAGAAAGTGGAGTCCCTCACAATGTATTTATGTTCTGGTAGGAACTCCACATCTACTTCTGAAGCATCTGGTGCTGGTTGCAAAATAATTTGTTGCTTCCAGTGTGGCAAGTCCTAATGCCAACTGTTATTACAGTTCCATGGTAGCCTAATCACGCCTTTCACAACCCTGGTGTGCCCCAGACTCGGGAAAACAAAACAACTCCCTCTCAGGAAACTACGGCAGGCTCTGTAGCAACCTCCTCTTCTCTGGAACCCTGTTATTTTGGAAGAGTTTAAAGTCTTAAAACACAATCTCCTTTAAAAAAACTTGAACAAAAGAAACCAAAGAAAACAGGCCCAGACAGAACCACGATGGGACCAGAGTGTGGACTTGGGTGTGGGAAGCACTGAGACTCCCAGCACGGCTCTAGGTAGGGTGTCTGAGAGATGGGGCAGCTGCAGGGAGGACGGGACAGGAGGCTGTGCTGAAATCAGCAGGGACCGGGGAGAAGG